GGTGCTACCTTGCCAATCGCGGATTTACACGCACAACCTTTGTGTAATAGAACCTTCTGTAACAACTACTGTTACACATAGTGCCAACTACTCCACAATGGACCTCCTTCTGAAAATTCCTAATCCAAACTTGTATTCACTTGGACTTTCTACAGCAGATACTTCCAAATATTCGTAGGTAAACATACCTACTAGGACTTGAACCCAAAACCCGCTCATGAAGGGTTGGGTGCCTAGACTACTAGACCACGGGATCCCAACCCATATTAACACAATTACTAATTATATACAATGTATATATATAGTATATTTACCAATACGTAGTAACATCAATATCAATTAATCATATTAAACCCACATCAATAGCAACATCTAACAAAGTTATTAAAATGATCAATTTAATAGTTGCTTTACGAATATTAAGTAATGATAATAAAAAATAATAAAATCTAATAAACGTATTAATTTTCCAAATTGGCCAAGACCATTATTTGAATACACTGATTATACTGTATATTTATTTAAATTTGGTATAGTTCCCTAAAGATCGATCTAAAACTATTTTATATAGTGAAAATAAAATTGTACAATCTAATTATTTAGTAATAATATTTTTCTCTTATATTATTCTACAGTATATTAAAGACACCAAAGAAAGACAGACAGAACGAAATTATTTATTTTCTAAGAATGACCGATTTCTTTTCAAAAATAATATTTTGTTTACTAAATCTGGTGCAAGACGAGTTCTTCTTGCTGATACATGAGCACCTGTGTCAGAAAATAAGTGTTCAGATGGGACTGATGTTGTGGGAATGGATAAATATTTGTGAGCAAGCTAGCAAAGTAGAGTATAATTTGTATGGTTTTCTCTCCACCATATTAAAGGATCTTGGCTTTTATAAGCAATTTGTTCTTTCAAATATCATATTAGCTCATCTTCAGCAACAGCTTGTGAATTGGGTATTGCAAACAAGCCCCATAATTCAGCACTTAAAAAATCATATTCCTCCTCCTCTACAGTAATAGCAGTACCTAAATTATCATTATTCTGATTAAATTGAGCTTCTAACACTAATAATTCTTCACGAAGTTGTAACTCTGTGTTTTTACGTTCCTCATTAGTTACAAATGGAAGTAACTTTAATATTTGCAGATCCAACATAGAAGCTTTCAATTCTACTTCATTAGGGATACCCCATAATTTATCGAAAGATAAGTAAATTGCAGCACACATTTTTTCTAGAATTCCTTCGCAGTTTGTAGATGGTAAATATTTTACAGTATTTGTATCATCTAATTCAATAATACGGTTTGCTTTATATTTAATAACAATAATAATTGTTTAATTATATTTTATTTAGAACAAAAAACATGAATCGTAATATACATGTACAAAAATATTTAATACCATGTCTTTTATACTTGATACGTTTACGACTCTGACTCTGACCTTGACTATATATACTTCTATGTGCATACTGCCACTGTTTCCTATTTCCAGCTAACGGTATACTATCTTTATCACTACTGCTAATGCTTGTATTTTCATCTGAACTTTCTAATGATGATCCATAAATTAAATCTAACCAATCTTCGACAGATTCATTTTTTTCAACTACTGGTGCATACTTATTTTTCAACATATGAACATAAGGATATATAAGGTTTATTGTAGGATATTTCGATCCAGAAAAATGTCTTGTTATTTCTTCGAAAGACTTTAAAATATCAACTATTTCATCTACGAGTCTTAATATATACATTATTAAAATAATAGTAATAATAATAGAGCTATAATACAAGATACTAGTCAAATTAGTTAAATACTTTTTTTCTTCAAAATTTAAACACAATTGATCTAGTTTCTTTCCGTCCTTTCTTGATATTGAATCTTGCTTGTATTGTAAGGATGCGGCTAGTGAACACATTATTGAATACAATTCTAGTATCCTTCTCCAGGCCAAGTAGGCCGAGTTCTATGTGTCTTACAGTCATTTAATACCTCAAGAGAGTTAATTAACCTATTATTATTATCAATGCTCTGAGATTCTGCAGAAATATGTCGTATTTGCATTTCCCGTAACCATTGTGCTTGCTTGGATAGGCGAAAAAATGCTTGAATATTTTTAAGACGTTGGTGAATATAATTAACTTGCTTCAATCCTTGTCTTATGAAAAGTTGAAAGGTGTGTGTAACACAAGGTTGCCAACAAACCTCTACTAGATAATTGTCTTTTAATAATTCTATTCCTTTCACTACATTTGCACCGTTGTCAGTGACAATCATATACACTTTATCATTTAAGTTTTATTTATTAATTATACTAAAAAGTTCTTCACTTATGTCTACACTGGTATGTGGGTAGGGCATATGACAACATGATAATAATGCTTCTCTAAATTCAAAATCTAGAGTAAGCCATGTTGCAGTAACCTCAATGTAATCATGGTTACTTTTCACGGTCTACAAATTCATCGTTAAGTGAACAACAGTGGCACTATTGATTAATATTTCTTGAAGCTAATTTATCCCTTTAGAATGTGCTTCTGAAATGAATTTCTTAACAGTATTTGCGCAGGGTATTCTATATTGTGGTTGAAATTCTAAAAGTAACTGTCGGAAAATGAATTTTGCAATATATATAAAGGCTATATATTCCCTATAATAAATTTTACCAGAACTTTAGTAAGTTCATTTTGTTGTTTAGCTAAAAGCGGAGGCAAATAAGTAATATAATTTGTAATCTGATTCACTTTAACTATTGGCTATAAAATAATTATGCATTTTAAAAAATAATTAAATTTATTTTAGTTGGTGTTTGAAACCCCCCTATATATGAGTAATGCCAAGAGAATTAGAACTTTAATTATATAAATTTTATATAATTGAAGTTCTATTTTTTCTTGGTGCTATATGTATTTGATTAAATACTTACTTCTTGAAATAAATCAAGATGCTCTTTGTAGTTATCTGCAATAATTTCATGCTTATCATGAAGGTAATATATTAAATGTTCAGTACTTCCATTTGAATTAGTATATGGATATGGTGCTTTACGAGTTCCTTCTAACTCTCTAATACAAATTTTACAGTATTTAATTTGATTATCTGTCTTATCAATTTTTAAAAAAAAGTGCATATAACTAGCGTTGGCTCTTTTATTTGTTATTGGGGTAGGTATGGAGATTGATAACTTTATTTTCTTAGTTCATTTTTTTTTGGTTAGAACCTGTGGCCTGCAAATTAGCTCTGCTAGTTTTATTATTTATGTCGTTACTAGATGAAGCAGAACTAGAAACAGAGTTTTCTTGTAGTGCCCGAGAGACTTTTTCTATTGAAGGCATTGGTGATATTGAATACATTGGCGATATTGAACGTTCTTGAGAAGACATTTTTTTTTAATAGTTGTACAAAGTATAATAGAATCTATTTATACATTGTATCGCTTTGATTATATAAGACATAAATTCGTATATAATATACACGAAGTTAAAATATTCGAAGTCTTGTTATGTTATTAGACTTTGTTTAAATATATTCATATATATATTAAAACCAGTTATCGGGCTTTTAATTATATTAACCAAACACAATCTATCTAATTATCATGCAAACACATAATCATAGATTTTTTTCTTCTTGTTATTTTTTGTACATTATTACATAAGCATACAAATTTCAAATTAAAGATTTGAAAATCATGATCATAATTGCATGATAATATCAATATTAGATCATGCGATGATATTAATCATTGCATGACCAATATCTTATAATTATTAGGGGATTGTATTCAATACGAAGGCCCAATGACTTTGGCAGCACTTATATCCAGATTATATTGATCCAGATTATATGTTGTACTGTATCTGGTTTGTATGTTGTATCCGGTTTATATATTTTATCCGGATTTATATTGTATCTGGATTATAAGTTGTATCTGGATTATAAGTTGTATCTGGATTGTATATTATATCCAGATTATATATTATATTCAGATTTATATTGTATCTGAATCATATATTGTATCTGGATTGTATATTATATCCAGATTATAAATTATATCTGGATTGTATTATATCCAGATATGGTTGGCTCAAAAAATTAAATCCGGATTTGTTTAAAAACCGGATTAATCTGGATATAAATATAAATCTGAATTCATCTACTACTTCTAATAAGAACTACTTCTAAATAACAAGTGACATGCCTGCAGTAAGTAATAAACTCTAAAGCTATTAGCAAGATAGTATATAAGAACTACTTCTAAATAACAGCTGCTGGTTTAAAGTTCATTTTTTCATATCTTATATTAGTAGTCAGTAACTATTACACTAATGTATTGTATTTTTTTTTAGTAAAAAGTTTTTAGAAAATTATAGTTCAAGTAATTGTCAGTTATACAAAATAATATTTAAATTCATATAATTGATATTTAAATTTATAGAAATTGGTATTCAAATTTGTATAAAATAACAATTAAAATAAAGTTGATTAAATTATAATATTTTGTAATCTAGTAATCTAATTTTAATAAATTTGATAATATTTAAATCTATTTGATAAGGCAATTTAAATAATATCAAAATTATCTAAACTGAATTACTAGATTACAAGATTTTATAATTTAATCAATTTTATTTTAATTGTTATTTGTATGTCAATTTTTATGAATTTAAATATCAATTGTATGAATTTAAATATCATTTTATATAAAATTAAATATCATTTTGTATAAAATTAAATATCATTTTGTATAAAATTAAATATTATTTTGTCTAAAATTAAATATTATTTTGTTTGAAATTAAATGTCATTTTGTTTAAATTTGGTATCAAAAGGTGTATTAATATATTTGATTGTATTATTAATAATAAGCTTCAAATGATATTGTAATTACAATTAAGTTGTAATTTTTTATCAAGTATTTATTTTGTAATATAAATTATATTTAAACAAATTGGTTTTCTAATAATAAAAATAAAAACAATTTTTTTTTTTTTTTTTTTTTTTTATTTCTTCGGCAAGTCTAGTCATGACTTTGGTCCAGCTATATTATAGTTGACTCTATGCTACTAGTGTCACAGG